GCGAGAGACAGAGCAGCAAACAGCATCCTTCCATCCCCTGAGAGCCTGGAATTTACCTCCAGGAGAGTCCCAGGGCAACGTGTCCCTGGCACACTGCCCCATCCCACCCAGGAGAGGGGCAACAACAGACCCCATGAGCAAGGCAGAGCCAGCAGCCTCTGGAGAGGCTTGGATTGCTGGAGTCCTGGGTAATTGGGCGTTTGGAGAATGAAACTAGCGACCAGCAGGAGAAGAAACAGCTTTTAGGGTGCAGATGACCTTTGAAGGACATGCCTACAGCAGTGCTCACCTCTAACTGTTCTCCTGCTGGGACAGAGGGAGTGCAGATGCAGCCACAGGAGGAAGGCACAAGTTCTAGCTCCATGGCTCTCCTTCCCTGCTCTGCTTTTCCTTCCCCCAGAGAGATTCATCCTCCTCATCACAGCTGCAAAAGCCCTTGGGCAGCTCCAAGGGGTTTGGAGCCCAGATGTGACAGGACACAAAGCACAGGGAATGCTGAGCTGCTGCAGTACCAGTCACTTTTCAGGGCTGTCAGCTCTATTTTCACAAATTGAGGAATATTTCTCCTTTGGCTCTGTTTCCAGCATTGCAGCAGGACAGGATGGTAGCTAATAGTTATTTCTGGAATATACAGTACTGATAAATGTATGTTGAATCCTCCTGGTTGAAGCTTCCCTCAGGCACTGCCAAGGACATGCAGATGAGGATCAGTATTCCCATGAGATCCTCTGCTTCCCTGGGATGCATTGAGTGATGCCATTTGTGGCCAGTGTCCCAGGAGACAAAGCAGTCCTGGTACACTTAAACAAAGATGACTAATTAGGTGTTCTCAGCTACTCCATTTCTTACTATCTCATGGAGAAGGAGACGGGCCCACTCAGGCTTTGCTTGTCCTTCTCTCACCACAGTGTTGTCCATTTCAGCACCACCAGCAACAACCAGTTGTTGCAGCAACAACCCAACAGTGCCAACTCTGTCTCTTTTTCAGTGCCTCATCTGAACTCAGGTCCTGCAGTATCACTTACAAGGGTGGACAGTGGTACCAAGGTCATCTCCTGCATGAAATCCAAGGTAAAAGTCTGCAGGCTCCAGCACAACCTTCCAAAAATGATGGGAAACCCACACCAATTCCATGGGTTCATGTCATAGCCTCTCCTTGTAGTGTCCTTGCAAGAAGGCATAATTAAACTAGAAGGCAAAGGTCTCTGAGCAGAGAACAAAGGTCACAGAGACGCTGTGGTTGGTTATGGAGGTGGTGGGAGATTTTCTGAGCAACTCAAGAGAGGAGGGAGAGGACAGGGGAAGGCATGATTTGCACCCTGGTGCTGTAACAGCCCCCAAGTGCTCCTCAGCAGAGGACAGTGGGAAGAGACAGGGAAGCATCCCTAGGACCTCCTTGTCCAACCAAAGCAAAGAGCTGAGGCATTTGTCTGAGATCTGTTGAAGCCAAGCTAATGGGGATAATCTGAAAGAGGGAAATGCACATTAGATATCAGGAGGAAGCTTTTGGAGTGAAGGTGGTGAGACACTGGCACAGGTTGCCCAGGGAGGCTGTGGCTGCCCCAACCCTGGCAGTGTTCACAGCCAGGTTGGATCAAGCCTTGAGCAACCTGCTCTGGTGGGAGGTGTCCCTGCCCAGGGCACGGGGATGGGCCTGGATGATCTCTAAGCTCCATTCCAACCCCTTAACATACATAGAAAAATCCATGCCTAAATGGTTTGTACTCAGACAACAGATGCAATTCCCTCTCTTCACCAAGCAGGGTCAGCGCAGCACCATCTAAACACTCCACGAAGTCATAGAGGAACCAACTGCTGCTTCACTTCAGGTCTGCCAGAGTTTTAGCTTCGTAGCAAAGCTGTACCTTCTCCCCATTCCTCCCACCCCTTCCTGGAGCTGCAGCTCACAGCAGCAGAGGCTCTAGCTCAGTGTTAAAGAACTGGAATTTCAGCCTTGCAAGGTTCAAATACCACAAGTGGCTCTGGAGGTTTCTGTCAGTCAGCAAAACCTGACTGAGGTTTGAGGCCACAGCCTGTGACCAGGCATGAAATTCATACTGTCAGAGTATGTTAAGGGGTTGGGATGGAGCTTAGAGATCATCCAGCCCCAATCCCCTGCCCTGGGCAGGGACATCTCCCAACAGAGCAGGTTGCTCAAGGCTTTCTCCAACCTGGCTGTGAACACTGCCAGGGTTGGGGCAGCCACAGCCTCCCTGGGCAACCTGTGCCAGTGTCTCACCACCCTCACAGGAAGAACGTTTTTCTAATATCTAACCTAAACTTCCCCTCCTTCAATTTGAACCCATTATCCCTTGTCCTGCCACT